TGTGGGCCAGATCTGGGCCACACCAATTTTGCTATGTAGGTTTTTGCCTTCAGAACTGAACTTTTCTCTCTGAGCAAGGTGCTGGAAACAGGACAGCAGTTTGAAATGATTTATGCTTTGTGACATGGGATGTTTACCCACTGGGTTATATCTTAGACTCTTCTTAGTGCTTGAACTAGGAAATAGGAAAACATTTCTGAACTTGGTTAGAAACAGGTTCAGCTGTTTTGTTGCCAGTGGCAGTCAATAGAAGTGTGATAAGTGTGTCACAACTATAACCTCAATGTGTCTTCTGGTGCATTTTCTCCCAGACTCAGAGCTATAGCTTACCCTTGATCCTTCCTGTGATATACAGAAAGTTTTGTTCATCGTGTCTTCCCAGGTCTCCAGTGTGCAGCCAGCCATCCTCATCCAAAGCCTCTGCTGTTTTGTCTGGCATGTTCAGGTAGCCCATGAAGATATTACGACCCCAGAAACAGATCTCTCCATTCCCATCCGCATCTGGATTCACCAGCTTTATCTTACAGCCTATCATCACCTTTCCACAGCTGGAAAGACAAATCAAAAGCCAGTGATGTGACCAGAATCTGCAGTAAAACTTTTAATTGAGCACATAGAAATCAGAGCAAAATAACACAAATGTGGCTTAAATATGATCATTTAACAATTTAAGGAGATGGTTGTACTCCTAAAAACAACAATAACTCCTGGCCCTGACACTTTTTTTTACATTATTGACTTTTTACAGTAAGAAGCTCCGTAACAAAATTAAATATAAATATTTTAATACGTTTGGACAAACATTTTCAAATTGTGTCTGTTTTCTGATGCTTTAGTCTAAATGAACCATCCTCATTTTTATTTAGACGGGAAGTATGAATATATAAAGAGCTGTGGCTGCCTCATTAAAAAAAGAGATCATCTGCAGACTGCAGAGATATTTGAAATAACACATGGTAGTAATAGATAACGGAGTCAAAAAACTAATCATCACACAAATTACTAAAACTAAAAATATACAAAATATACAAAAATATGACAGAAAGTGTCACAGAAAGAGCCCAGTTAAGCAGAAGCATCAAGGTTGTGTCATATTTTTTATGTTTTTATTTTTTTTACATGTAAACAGATGTTTCCTCAGGCTTTTAGGACTTATTCTTATGCTTTTAAATATATTTTGCTCTTTCACATACAGTTTTTTATTATTATTATTATTTTAGAGTATTTCTTCCCTCTATTTATGTATGAGCATGAGCACCGTCATACAAACTTCCCCTTCACTATAAAAGAGTTCACTTTACTTCTGCTCTATTTTGAATTTATTAGAAAGCTGGTATTTTATACTCAGGCTGTTTAACCAAATATAAGGTTGTTGTAAGTTCCTGGTAATATGGGGATTATCCTGTAACTAGTTTATCAAAGGTCAATGTCAGCACTGGACAACGTGGGCATTTGTAACATACCTGCTCATCTTTAAAGAATCCGGGCCCTAAACACACACACCCGCCCTCTCACATCATCTATAATTGACTGAGACAGGACTCTCTTCCAGACACTCTAAACCCAGGCACAATGTACATTCCAAATTCCTTTAATTTTAAATATGTTTATATTGTCTATTCTGTAAAATAGTCAGATGTCTATTCATATTAATGTACAGAATGCACCTGCTTGCTGCTACTGCACATTCACCCAATGTATATACATATATATATATATATATATATATGTTATATATATAACATGTTGAGGAGCGTGTCAGGCTACATTTCACTGTGTGTTATATTTGTATAACTATGCATGTGACAAATAAAGAACCTTGAACCTTGAGAAATATGCCTCTGCAGTCATCCTGAGCTCTACTGAGCTTAAAGTGACTTTCAAGCTCAGCACAAAAATAAACTCCAATAAACCCCCTGTTCAGCACCAAGGAGCAGACAAAGTTAAGTTTTTTCAGAAGGCAGTAAAAACAAAATCAGAGCTGGAAACAGTGAATCTAGGACTTCAGATGGACTGAAGTGTTGATTCAAAGAAGTTTTGTTGCTGTGATTAAAATAAACAGGCCACTGCTAAGAAGTCTATTTCCTTATTAGATGCTGTCAGTTTTTTGTTTACAGTTTATTACGTTGGCTATAATCTATCAGGTATGCTTGATGAAAAACAACCATCTATCACCTTCAACACAATATTTTTTGACCCCTGCTTTAACCACAATCCAACACTTCAGTCACGTCGATGTCTACCTTGTGACGCGGTATTCATCGATGGAGACGGTGTGAGGGCCACAGCTTTCACTCATGCCATACATCTCTTTCAAAGGGATGTTCAGGCTCATGAAGTAATCCAGAGTGTCTTTGGTAATCGGTGCAGCTCCAGTGCAGCATATTCTGCAGCGGTCCAAGCCCAAAGCAGCATGCACCTTCTTGAAGACCAGATTATTAGCCAGCATGAAGCCCCACGGCACCTGATTCTGTCTGTAACACACAAAATAAACCAATATTTTATCAAAATTATTGAGGATCTTTTTTGTTTAGGAATAATGAACTTTAAATATGATTTTAAATAAGGTTTTTCTAGGTAAAGCTGAGCATCATTGGCCGTAGTGCAAAACGCCTGGCCAGAGTCTTGCATGATTTTTTTTCACTCTCTTTCTCCTTTTATTTCTTTAACCAACACAAAGAAAATCAAAGTAATTTGAGAACTGACCAGCTTCAGCCTAAGGCACCTTCTTTTATGTTGTGCAGACCTGATTGGCCTCACCCTGCTGGGTTATCCTGCAGCCCTGTTTTGAGACTTTCCTCTTCTCTTCATGTTTCTTGCTTTACTTTGTAATTTTATAATTTATTTATTCTGTCCTCTTGTACACTGTGCAAGTTTCTTAATGTTTTTCTTGTTTCTAAAATTATTCTGTAAGTAGTCCGCTCACAGTGTTTGGGGGCTTGTCCGAGTTACTTCAAAACTGCTTTGAGAAAGGCAAATTTACTACAGTTCTCAACACTATGAGATAAACAAATACGTGAAGAACCGATGACATTAGCATCACTCACAACTGCACAAATAAATCTTTCTATGTGTTATGAATGTTATAAAGTGACGGCCTGGGGATGTTAAACTGTACAAACATGTGATGTGTTCGTCTAACATCCCTGCTTCTGTCTCACCCATTCATGACACTGTAGTTGTACTGCAGGCCGATAGACTTGGCAAAGCCTGCCACTCTCTTCTTCATTGGGGATGCTTTGGCTCCCACAGCTTTCATCTTCTCCTCGATCTTCTCCCACACACGAGGAACTCCCAGGAAACAAGTTGGGCGAACCTCTTTAAGTGTGTTTACTAAAGTGCCCTGGAAAAATTAATTACAGTCAAATATATTTAGTTAATGTTTCCTTTTTCATGAGGTAATAGTCATGCTTACTTTAAGGGCATCTGGCTCTGCAAAGTAGATGGTCCCAGCAAGGCCCATGCAGACCCAAATATCAATCATCTGGGCTGCGATGTGGCTGAGCGGCAGGTAACTGACCAGGATCTCCTCACCGCCTTTTGCTTTTAATATGGTACATCCCACATGGGCAGTCCATGTTATCTGCACATTTAAAAGTGGGGAAAAAGTCACAAGGTATTTTCTTTCGCCAAATATTTGTCTTGAATCTTTAGAGTACTCCTCTCACACATTGATCGAAACAACATTATGAAATTACAGTAGAAGAAGTTATCGCCAGATTATATAAAAGCTCTCTGGTTGAACCACTAGTGCTATGGTTTAACTCTTTGAAGAGTTAAAAGCTTGTCCTTACATCCTACAGCCCGCCTAAGATATGCTGCAGTAATTCAGCTTGTTGTGCAAATTCAATTTTATTCATGTTTATTAAAGGTGCTAGAACTAAGCTAATGAAGTGAAAACTGGAGATTCATAATGAACTATTCCAAATGAAACATAAAAAATAGAGCTCAAATACTTAAAAAGCAGTAAATTGGTACAAGACTATTTCTCTATCTAAGTTTTTATTATTTCAGTTTGGTATGTTTTCATATATTATGTGAAGTGTAACATTTTGCTCTCTCTTGCAATGATAAAAAATAAATCTTTCAATTTTTTTTTCAAAATTTAATTGTACGTATTTTAAATATAAATTAAAATATGAAAACAAAAAGAAGATGCATATTCTCTGTCATATGGGCCTGCATGAATAAACTTTCTGAATCCTTTATCATCCACAACTATTTTCAGTTGTGGATGATTGTTGTCCCTGGCTCTCTTTCTCTCTCTCCCTCCAGCTCTGTTCCTGTGCTACTGCCAGTGTAACTACTGCCCCTCCCCCCCTCTGCCTAGCGCAAAGCACAAGGCTCTCATGCAGAGTGAAGCAGGAAAAAAGTGTGTGAGAGAGAGAGACAGAGAGAGAGAGAGAGGGTGAGAGAAAGAAAAAAAACAATGCACGGCTTGTGATAAGGAGCCGGCTCACGTCGTTCACGTCAAAGATCCGGCTGGCTCTAAGAGCCATTTCGTTCGCGACCGACACATCAATAATGCATAACAATAATAATATATCTATATAAAATGATCTCGCGGGCCAGATATAAATGTACGCCGGGCCGGACGTGGCCCGCGGGCCTTGACTTTGACACATGTGATTTAGAACAAGACAGAAAAAAGCTGTAATCTAAGCCTTAACAACTTGATGGCTACTTAATAAAATGAACAGTATTCAAAGACTTTTCAGTTCAATCTTAAATCTTAAAAGCCAATACCTTCTTCCCTTTTAGAAGAAGAGAGAGAGAAATCTCTTGTCAGGGCTACTCACATTGTCATGGCTCAACATGACTCCTTTAGGGTTGCCAGTGGTTCCAGAGGTGTAGATGAGGCTGCAGCACTCATTGGGCCGAAGACTGTCAATCACAGCATTCAGCTGCTCATCGGGCACGTCCTCTCCCAGCTTCATGAACTCTTCCCACTACAGAAATAAGGAGGTTGGATCAAAACAGAGCATCAATAATAAGTAAATAAATGTTTGCTATGTAGACGTACTGTATACAGGAACGGAGCTTTCTGCTGTAGCTCGCCTTTGTACTGAACAATGGCTCTCAGATGAGGTAGATGATCTTTAACCTGTTAAAAGATACAAAGATAACATGTGAGGACAGAACCTCACTCACAAGTAATGCATGTATTACTTTATAAAGAGATGGTGGTGAATTAAGATGAAACTGCCGACCTGCAGGATTTTGTCGAGCTGTTTCTGGTTCTCCACAACCAGGACATTGGCCTCACAGTTGGCAGCCACATACTGACAGGCCTCTGGTGAGTTTGTGGTGTAAATCCCGGCTGCCAGCCCTCTAAGGGACAAACAATTGCTTGAGCTATATATTACCTTGTATGAGTCACTGTCATGTGTTACCAGTTTGGCTACAGCTTGATGTGAAGTGGAAAATAATTATATATTTTGTTTGGTGAACAGAAATGAGTATTTTTTTAAACTGTAGATTAAGCAAGAAAAACTAACTAAAGTGAGGGGTGATTACGCCTATCCCAGCTGGCACAGGGCGAGAGGCAGACGGCCTTTCACAATCACACTGATTTTAGAATCAAAAATTAACCTAACCCTGTTCCATGTCTTTAGACTATGGGACACAAATAGAAGTCATTGGAGGAATTCTATTTGTGCACTTGTGCAGTTTGTGGCGGTGTCCGAACTGCACAAGTTGAATGTCCCTTAGTACTTCCTGACAGCTTGAAAAAATGCCAAATATTACATCCACGTAATTTTAACTGAGCCTCATGTGGGTGGAGACACAAACAGAGGTTCTGAGATAAGAAAGGACAAAGATAAATGTGCATGTCAGACAGTGTAGAGGTAAAACAGGTCCAACAGTAGACTAATTTAAAATGTTATCAGATTCAGTTCCTTATAGAGTGATCTTACCCGGCCAAGATGCAGCCGATGTCTGAGATGAACCACTCAGCGGAGTTGAATCCCAGAATCCCTACACCATGGTAACGCTCCAGCCCCAACTGATAAAAACAAAGGACAGGTAGATGCTTTTAAAGAAGAAGTGACTTTAATTACACAGCGGAGCAGGCCTATACCTTTGTTACTTCTGCGTCTTGTTTCATTAGCCACTCTACTCACACGGGACACAGATATGGCTGTGAAACATAAAACGTAACACAAGCTGGGCATTTCACACACCCAAGTTTCCAGCACACTATCCTCACATCAACACGAGTAAGATAGGAGGTGCTGTTTATAAAACCTGGGCCAGGTGTTCAATGATTTATGCAGCCTTCAGTTCAAAAAGTATTGTTCAGTTACATAAACACAGCTTTCTAATTAAAAACAACCAAAAAACAAAACAAAAACCGAGTCGATGTTTGTTTAAATCATAATTCTAACAATCATTTGGTTACTTTGTTTCTAATTCAGAGCATTTGATGACTTAAAAGTTCTAAGTTTGCGCTTTAAAGGAGCGCAAGTGTCAAATCCTCTAAGCGCCTGGATTTGAGGTTAATGCAGGAGGCAACAAAGACCTTTTAAGGCCAAAGAGCAAGAATGGGTGCAGGAAAGGTCTAAGGGAGAGTCCCTGGGAGTGATCCCCAGCATCTGCTGATCTCTTGGTTAAAAATGACAACTCTGGCAACTTGGTTTACAACTAACTTTGTGAATGAATGACAACAGCATACCTTAAAATGAATGACTGCAGTGTATGCAAAATAAATGCTTAAATTATTTCATTATTTTACAATTCTTAAAATCCAACTTTACTCTATGAAATAATGTTTAAGGCAAATTAATAACATTCTAAAGATCTACGACTGCCAAATAGCTTCTTTGCACTATATTTGAAGTTCACTGAAGTGTAATTTTTGTTCAACAGATGCAGGACAATTTGCAAAACAAGCAAACAAACCTTGAGAAAGCTTTTCGCAGCTGCACGACACTGCTCGTAGTATTGGTTCCAGGTTAGAGTCATCCACTGGCCATCTTTTTTGGAAACCAAAGCTGGATGATTCCCATACTTCTCGACTGTCTCCAGGAACATCTGATGGACGGTGATGGGAGCCTCTGAGCCTGGCCCTGATTCCTCCATTCTCAGCCTCACTGCCTGCTCTCTGCCGGTGCTCCATAACTGGTCAGCTGGGGCTAGAGTTGTTGCCAAATGGGCCATCGACAGGGGAACTGCCTTGGGCTCTTCTGTATTGTGAGAACAAGGGCAGTTGCATATACTCTCCATGAATCACAAGTCAAAAGACACAGCTAGTCAGGTGTATCACAGGACTGCAGATATCGCTGTGCTGTTACCCTAGGTGCGTTACTTTAATGTGCAGTGTGCAGTAAAGCCTCTGCTGTTATCTGAGCTGAAACAGGAAGTTCCACATTACAAATGCGTACCTACCAAACAGGTTCAGCATGAAGAAGTCATGTAATTTTAGCTACAGGACTGAATGAGCACACAGACAACATAGTGAATTCAGCCATCCAGTAAAAATTCTCGACAGTGTTTCAC